TTAGTCTATAAGGTGCCACAGGACTCTTTGCTGCTCTCAGTGAAACCGTAGTAGCATTGTGACCTAAAAGTCCCATCCAAGATCTGAGTCCATGGCGCTCGATGCTGTACGTGCACATAGCAAGAGACAGTCCCTGCCCCAAAGATCTTACATGCTAAACAGACAGAGGGTGGGAGAAAAGGAACCTTCGTAACATCCCTCTTTTACAGATGGGGAAACTGAGGCATGGAGCAGTGACGTGATTTGCCCAAGGTCACACAGCAAGTCAGTGGCAGAGCTGGAAGAAGAACAAGGTAACCTGAGTCTCAGGCTAGTAGCTCTCCACTAGGCCTCATCACCTCTCAAAGCTTCCCGCAGGCAGCCGCTCAAAGCTTTGCAGGGCCTGCGGGGCCCAGAGTTCTCAATGGTTTGCCAGTCTGCAGCGTGGGTGCCCCTCGGCTCACGTCACTGAACTGTGGTGGCTCTTACACTGTCGACTTGTTGGTAAGGCAGAGATCCCTGTGTGGCCCAGCTCCCTCTCCCAGGGTGCTGGTCCGGCTCCCCCAGGGAGAACCCGGGAAGCTCTGTGTTTCCCACTCACCGAGGAGTTTCAGAAGAGGGCTAGAAGGCAATGGCAGCTGATTTCAGAATGGGGCTGAAATGCGGGTGCCCTAAAGATCCAAAGAGCATGGATGGTGAGGGGTGGGTGGGTCTCATGGCAGGGGAGCTGAGATCCAAGAGCAGGGACCCAGACAGCATGGTGTCCTCGGGGAAGCAGAATTACAGGTCAGGGATATTCTCCCCTCTCCTCTGACACTGTTTTCTGCAGCAAGGATCATTATATGATTTCAGCAAGATGCTCTAGGGTTCAGATCATGGTCTGGGGGTGATGGGCCATGGCCACTCATGACAGTCAGCCGTCCATCATCTGGTACCTAGCAGCCACCAAGGCGTGGCTTTGTTAGACCATAGTGCACATCCTTTCCTGCCTCTGGCTTAATCTCAAACTTCTCCATGGCAGTCCTGTTTGCAGCAACGGTGCAGAAAAGAGCCACGGCTCATGCCTGGCGTTACCGTTAGACTCCATATGGATCCGGGCTTTGCCTTCTCTGCTGAGAATGGTGGCTATTTAGCTGCCTGTCTCTTCGCAAGGACTTTGGCTAGTAACACCAGCTCATTTCGCACGGGCCAACAAGGAGCTATCAGTGGGTACTAACCTGGTTCTGATCTAGACTGTCTTGGAGGTGAAAGCTTCCTTGTCCTGTTACTAATCCCCTAAATCATCCCGTCCAACATCTATCTATTCTTTCATCCAGCCTCCCAGATTCATGCATAAGGTAATTTCCAGGCCAGTGAAGATATTTCCAAAGTTATAATTTTTTATATTTGTGGGAGGGCAAGTGGTATTTAACTGAGACTGAAAACAAGGAATCAAGAGATTTAAAAATAAGAGCAGCTGGAAGTCAGTCCTTGATGTTACCAGGCTATTTGCAAGCCAAAGAAAGTAGGAACTAGAATCAAAGGTGCTGATTTAAATTCCCATTGAAAGTCAGCCAGCCACATCATGGCCAACAGATGCCCTGGCAGCGTAGTCAGACTGTCAACCTGACCGCACGGGCTAGTCCCAAATGGAGCCAGGGGTCCGGCTAACAGACCGACTGGCCCCGGCTGTGGTGGCGGTCCGGACGAGGAATGTCCTGGTTCGCAAGCCGGCCGCCGCAGTTCTTCCCGCAATGCCTTTTCGCCCAGCGCCTGACTAGGCTCCGGAGCGCATTGCCGGAGACGTCCCGCAGCCTGCGCGCCCAGCGAGCCCCGAAGAGGGGCTGGAGTTGATCTGGATAACAAGGAGCCTGGTCCCAAGCTGGGGAGGAGCCAGTGCGCCGAGGAGAGGCTCAGAGAGGCACCTCCCGCTGGCCCCAGGGACTGGCATGGGAAGGCGACAGAGAATCACACCAGCCCCTGCTCCTCCAAAGGGCAGCGAGGGAAACCTCTCTCTGAGCCGGGGGGCAGGACAGAGACGGGCCGGGGCCGGGGGGTGGCCAGAGCCGCGCTGCAGCCCCAGGGAGCCTGGGGTCCCAGCCAAGGCAGGGTCCCTTCCTCTGGTGGGGATCGAAGGCTCTGTCCCCCAGGCCGGGGTTAAGCCGATGCCGCAGACACGGGAGCTGCCCGGGGGCCCCGCCTTTGCTCGCGGGGCGCGGGGGGGGGGATCAGAGCAAGGAGCGATGTTTGATGTTCTGCTCTTTACGGGATTAATAATCTTTTGGCGTCGGAGAATCGCCTGGAAATCTTCTCTGGAAAATAATGAGCAGAGAAACATTTACTGATTAGTTTAATCCCGGATCATCCTCTCTGATGAGCATATATCAAGATAGCCTTTACCTGATTTATTGTCAAAGGGCTCAGTCGGGAACCCTTGATTTCTGCTCTGCATAGAGGGCGTGGGTGCGCATAATCCAATGGGTGTGCAAAGCGCACGGCTGTTAGGTGTGCGAATCGTGCAGGTATTAGGTGTGCAAAGCGCAGGGCTGTTAGGTGTGCAAGGTGCCCAGGTAATGGGGTGCACAGTGCACGGGTGCAAGACATGCAGGTGCTAGGTGTGCAAGGCATGCCGGTAATAGGTGTGCACAGCGCGCGGGTGTTAGGTGTGCACCGTGCCTAGCGGGGCAGGTCTCTAGAGTCACAGAGCCAGGGAGTGTGCGTGCAGCGTTGCTTTTCCTCGCTCCCAGTGCCGTGTGGCCAGGAGGCAGGACCCCTGTGTGTGTGGGGGGGGTTAATCGCCGCTCTCCAGAGGGCCGGAGATTTAAACTCTATTTCGACTCCTCCATCTAGCGGCTTTCTCTCGGGCTGGAGCTTTTATGGTTCATAAACTGATTAGGAGCAATTATCTACGTGTTATCCCCCAACTTTCCAAATGACTTGGCCATATGCATATTTAAGGCTTCATCATCCCCAGGAGCCGCTCAGCCTCCCCGTAAACTGCTGAAATTAAACTGATTCGGGTGCGACGTCAAAAATTAGGGTTTTATCCACTAATATCTGGTGGGACAGGAAATTTGCTGTGGGCGGAGGCCGGATTACTGCTTCTAATTACTCCGGCAGATTTGCTCCCTGGCTCGCAGTGAAAGTCTCTTCGTCCAGCAAAACTGCAGCAAAACTGGGAAAGTGAACGTGAGGAATGTAAGTCCCCTGGGTTCTGACCTATATGTGATCTATTGGTGCGGCTCTTGGCTGGAGCCGCGATCGATCCGAATTAAAGCGTGACAGCCCTGCTGTACTCGGGGTGGGCGCCACTCCGGACTGGGACACGGGTTAGAGATGCCCCGAACAGCCGGAGATAACTGACGTGCGAAACGCAACTCAGAACAAACACGTTTGGGGCAAATTCTGTGTTCGTGGAAGCCTTTCACTGAGATTTCGTTTAATGGGAATAATGGTGTATGGGCATCTCCCTACCCACCGGGCATCTGCCGACCCGCCTCCCTGCTTTGTCTGGCCAGGGTTTTATAAAGTCGCCCATGACCATGGTCCCCGACTGTTTAAACACAAGAAACAATTGTACTGCATTTAATTTCTGCCTGATTGAGGTGGGGATGGGGCTGTATGTGTGGAAAAGCTGATAATAAAATTGTAGACGGCTCTATTTGTTGGTCAGAAGCCCGGGTGAGGAAACCCCTTCCTGTCCTTTCTTCACACCTGTCTAACTTGGTGTCTAAAAGAAATGTCGGGATTGCTTTCGGTCCAAGGAGAAAACCTCCTAATCGTCCAAAGCAAACCCAGAAAGCCCCAGCAATTCAAATTACAATTATCCCAAATGAAAGTTATTGTTTTGCTAATCCCAGGAACAGCTTGCAACGGGAGATTTGGGTCTTTCTTTAATAATGTAAAGTTAATACGTAGTCCCCTTGTAATTATCTTTATCAGAAGACCCTTGTTTAATCTGCATGTTTAGCAGAAAAGGACCAAATCAAAAAGAGATCTGCTTTAAAGCACTTGCTGTAAGCTGTTTGGAAATGGTTTGCATAAACAGCTGAAGCAAGGAATTGCAATCCAGGTGCAAGATCTGGACTCAGACGAACAAATGACTGAATCCCCCTTTCAGAACGTGGCTAGGGCTAGACACGAGAATTCCCAGTTCCTTTAGGGCGAGCAACCGCCTCACACGGTTTTAGCAGGGCCAGGTTCAATGCTGCGAAACCATAAAGTTGCACTGGGGCGGGGGGCGAATTGGGCTCATGTATGGCCACTGTATGCGCCTTCTTTCTTGTACCCAGCCACGAGGCTGCAGAAGGAGCCACCGTTTCTCCTGTAGTGCCCCAGAGACCCTGCCAGTGCCAAGGGCAGGACGCGAGCCCATCTCCGCCTCCCTGAGCTGCAACTTGCTCCTTGGAAGGGCCCGCGGCGCAGCGAGTGCCCGAGCTCAGTTTTCCACGGGAAAGGACGGAACAAAACTTTCCTTGCTAAACCGATTTCCCCCCCGCCCCCCGCTTCCCAGAATCCCCCAGGCTGTGGCGCTTCGGCAGAGGGTGTGAAACTCACGGGCTCTGGATCCGCCTTGTCCGACGGGGCCCGGAAAGCGAGGCGGGCCGGACCGAGCTTTGCAGGTCTGTGTCGCTCGCCAGGTAGCTTGTGGCTGTCGGACACAGACGGGCACCCGGCGGGGCGAGGCCCCGGGGGGCACCAACTCCCCGGCCAGGGCCGGGCGCTCCGCCAGCCGAACCTGGCCAGTGCCCTGCGCGCCCCGGGCGCACGGGCCAGGCTGCGCTGCGCGGAGCGAGCCCACGGGGCAGCGGCTGGGCGCCGTGAACCGTGTCCGCTGGAGCAGCAGCGCCCGCGGGGGAGCGGGGTGGGCTTCTGGGGGCCTCGGTGGCAATTAATCCCCTGGGATTGGGAGCCAGGCCCGCCCCCTCCCCGGCCCCCCTGCGGCGGCGGGGCCCTGCCCGGAGCTGATTGGAGCCGGGCAGCGGGATAAAAGGCTCCGGGGAGGCTCTGCCCCCGTCCATCCTGGGGAGGCAGCGGCCAGCATGACAGGCCGGGAGGAGCCCGCCGAGGGCAGAGCCAAGGGGAAGGCGCTGGTGCCCAGCGCTGCCAGCGAGAAGGCGGCCCGACTGGGCGCCCCGGCCCTGCGCTCCAAGGGCTTCGCCATCACCGACCTGCTGGGGCTGGAGGCCGAGCTGCAGCCGCCGGCCGCCCCCGTGGCCGGCGCGGGATGCGAGGGCGCCGGGGCCGGACTTGGGGGGGTGTCTCTGAGCGGCGGCTCCCTGCCCCTGGGCTTGGGCTTCCTCTGCGGCTTCGCGGCACCGCCCCCGGCCGGAGCCCCCTGCCTGCTGCCGGCGCACGTCCCCTTCCTGCAGCCCCGGCCGGAGCTGCACCGGCACCCCGGGCCGCCCGCCGGCGGGCGCCAGGACAGCGTCTCGGGTAAGGGCCCTGCCCTGCCCCGCTGCCCCCGGGGCGCGCCCTGCCCAGGATCCCCGTCCCCAGCGGGCCCTGCCCAGGATCCCCCTCCCCAGCCGGGCCCTGCCCAGGATCCCCCTCCCCAGCCGGGCCCTGCCCCGGGCTCTCCCCCTTCCCCAGCCGGGCCCTGCCCCGGGCTCTCCCCCTTCCCCAGCCGGGCCCTGCCCCGGGGTCCCCCCCCCCAGAGCCCGGGGCGCCCCCCAGCCAGCCCCAGCGCCTGACCCCGGACCGGCCAGAGCCGCCGCGGGCCGAGCTCCGCAGCCACGACGCACCCGATGTAACCGGGCCCGGCGCTGTCCGCCCTCGTGGTGCTGAACCGCCCGGCCTGGGCCCGCCGACCGCTGGGCGAGACGCGCCCCACTCCCCGGGGCTGTGCTCGGGGTGGGAGGAGCGAACTCAGCCTGGTCCCAGCCAGCTTCTCAGCCCGTCACCCCTGGGTGCTTCCCTCTGAGCCTCGGGCCTGCCTCCCCTCCCCACGGCGCCCGCTGAATGTCCTTTCCCTCCCGCTGCGCACAGACGAGGACAGCCTGTCCGGGGACAAGGGCGAGCTGAAGACGTCGACTTCCCAGATCAAGAGGAAGAAGCGCCGGCATAGGTACCCGCTCAGCTAGGGGCAGCGGGCTGGGCCTTGGGGGAGCCCTGGCCCTGCTCTTCACAGCACGGATCCCCTGGGATCATGGCATTGCCTGGGCTTGCCTGTCCTCCAGCACCGCGGGCCTGGTACTGGTTCAGGGCTCGACCATGTCTACACTACGGCTTATGGCAACGTGACTGATGTGGCCGCAGGGGTGGGACTGAAGCCGTGTTTATTCTAACTAGTGTTAGTAATGGGCAGCCAAAGGGCTTTTCACAAGAATTAGCAGGGCTGAGAGACAGGAGCAAAGCTGCCCTGCCTAGGAATAAAACTCTCCTGCGGCTCAGTGGCAAATCCTGTGTAAACAGAACCAGACTCAGACCTGATTGCAGGCCAGAGTCATTGTAGACCTCGCCCTGGGGGAGTGCCCGGGGGCCCCTGAAGGAGCTACTGGGGCTCCCCGGGTGGCCAGTAACTGTTTGTTCCTTCCCCAGGACGGTGTTTACTGCTCACCAGCTGGAGGAGTTGGAAAAGGCTTTCAATGACGCTCATTACCCAGATGTGTACGCCCGGGAAATGCTAGCTATGAAAACAGAGCTGCCGGAGGACAGGATCCAGGTAGGGAGCCAGTCCCAGCGCCGGGCTGTCTTGGCTGTCTCTGCGGTCCCCTGCCCACCCCGAGAGCGAACGTGCACAAGGCGAATACACTCCGCGCCCAGCACCCACAGCTCTCTGCCCCCCCTGCCCTAGACACCTGGCTGGGCTCTGTGCCGGAGCCCACTGCTTCGGACCCTAGTTCAACAGCGCCAGGGCCAAATCTTCCCGCCTATCCTCAAGTGGCCCGGTTACTTCAATGACCAACATAGCTAGAGTGGGCCCTGAGTTTTTGCTACTGATGCCCTTAAGAGCAGGACAGTTGGACAGGAGCCAGGACTAGTTATAAGCAGCCCTTTTCGATGGCCACCCTTTGGGGCTGCAGACACAAGGTGTGTGTGGGGGGTGGAACAGGGACTCACTGCCTGAGAGCCCTTGTCTGTGTACAATGGCTGAGGGGAGGCCGCCTTTTCTGGGGGGTGTAAAAGATTTCCTGTGTGCCCAGCACAGAGGAGGTGGCCATGCAGGCAGCTGCTCGGGGGGGAGGGGGTTCGTGTTCACTGACTCCCTCTGGACAGCTGCTGGGGAAACATCTGAGTAGGGATCCCCAGCACAGGCCTAGATCTAAAGATCCTGTCCAGTCACGATAAACCTCATGTAATGGTCTCTCTCTCTCTCTCTCTTAATCCCTCCCCACCCCAACACGCTCTCCAACACACACATTCACACATATGCACACCTGGACCCCGCCCCCCTCCCCGAACACCTTCTGGATATAATCACACATGCCCGTGTACAAACCCCAACCCACACACATGCCCCCTCCCCGGATCTCCCCCCCCCACCGATCTCCCCCGGGCCCCCAGGTCTGGTTTCAGAACCGAAGAGCCAAGTGGAGGAAGCGTGAGAAGTGCTGGGGCAGGAGCAGTGTCATGGCCGAGTACGGTCTCTATGGGGCCATGGTGAGGCACTCCATCCCTCTCCCCGAGTCAATCATCAACTCAGCCAAAAGTGGGCTGGTGGGCTCCTGCGCTCCTTGGCTGCTTGGTAAGACAGCACCTAGTCCAGGGTGGGGTACGCCCTGCTAAGAGGGAACAGCCAGGTAGCTAGGGAGAGCCTGACATGCTTTATATTGAAAACTGTTACAAATCTCAGCCTTTCCCTTCCTTACAAACATGCCAGTCTTTTTTTTTTTTTTTTGGGTGAGGGGGATTTAAAGTAAACCACAAATCCTTAGGTGGTAATTTTCAGAGTCTGTGTTAAAGTGTTTTGAAAAGGATGTGTTAACGAACGGATTAGAGTGGGTGACCCTTTTATTGCTATACAGTAATAATATACTGTTATTGTTCGTTGTTATGATTTTAGCCCGGAGTCAGGGAAATACTTATGCACATATTTAATTTAAAGTTAACTTAAGTGTAACTTAAACTTAAGCCCATGCTTAAGTGAATGTTTGAATAGGTGCTTAATTTATCATGTTGCTGTCGTGCTGTAGAGACACAGGTAAGGAATAGAGCCCTATCTCACTGCCTACTTACATGCCAATAATAGACCCTAGACCCCAGAGAACTCGCAATCTAGGATTTAGACAATAGGCAACCGAGGCACCCAAACTCATTGCCGTCAGATGGAATCTTTCTGCTGACTTCACTGGGCTTTGGATCTGTCCCTAAGGGAAGACATAGACAAATGAGGGGAGAAGAGGAGGACAAGGTAACAGCTGAGCCGGGTGTGTTTGAATTAGTTAGTAGGCACAATGCTCTCAGTTGTCCCAGGTGGATTTAAGCAATGTGTTATATTTACTTACTCTTCTTCATTCTTGAAGGGATGCATAAAAAATCCATGGATGTTACAAGAAAGCCAGAGAGTGAGGAGAAGATGACAGGCAGCTGGCGATTGGAAGGTCCTGAGGAGGAATTAAAAATGAAGCCAGCAGATCACCAGAGAAGCTCTGGTGACAAACTCAGCTCTATGGACAATTCAGAAGATACAGCGATTGACCTCTCTAGCACAGCAAAGCAAGAGAACAGGAGCGCTTTGAGGCAATGTCTCAAAGGAGACCTCCAGACAGATGGGAAGGACAATGACCACTAAACTCAGGGAGCAGGGGAAGGGCGGGGTGTTAGGAAAATGAGCCTCCTTAACACTTTGGAAAGATAGGACTATTTATTCATTATTTTTTCAAACAATTAATACACAATTTTACATGAATATGAGACATTTTAAAACTGGATCCAGCCAAGATTCCCTCCCCCACAACTTTAAAGCTGTTTGTTTGTAATAAACAGGGCTGAGGGGAAGGTTTTAAAATGTTGGTGTGAAAACGTCACTGGTTTTTGGTTTCAGAGGAACAGCCGTGTTAGTCTGTATTCGCAAAAAGAAAAGGAGTACTTGTGGCACCTTAGAGACTAACCAATTTATTTGAGCATGAGCGCTGTTCCTCTGAAACCTGTCATTATGCAAGGCACTGCATTTAGCCGTATGGAGTGGAAATCTATCAACTGCATGAAAAAACTGGTTTTTGGGCAGCTCTAGTGATAAATCAGGAAAACCTCCCTTTCATTCTGTAACACAAGCAACTGAAAGACACTTCTGCCAGCTAAACAGGACCATGACTGAGAGTGGAGTTATTCCTTCTGGACCCTGTTTGGCGAAAAGACGGTGCAGGACTTAACAGAACCCTTATTTCCAAAGTTACATTCCAACGTTTACTGTGATGTACTGGGTAAGCACCAACGTGGCAATTCTCGGTGTTTAAAATATGCAACTGTTCGGCCTCGAGAAGAAGCAGAAGGTATTCTTAAAAACTGTGGATCAGTTTTTCAGCTCTTGTAAGTTGACATAGTGCCATTGACTTCAAGAGAGCCAGGCCAGTTTACACCAGCTGAGGAGCTGTGTATCAGTCAATACAGCCTTATAAATGAATTATACTGTGTATTTTACTTAGAACTTGTATTGTGCGTGCGGGGGGATATGGGGGGGGATATTTTATGCAATAATTTTCTATGCTTTTGAATGTTATTTGATATACTATGCATAAAAGAACTCACACCTTTATGAAAATCAAGCCATAGCACCCCTAAGAAATTTTATGCTATTTTGTGAATTGTCATAGGAGACTATTTTGTAATTCTTAAATGTCCATAAAACAGTGTTAATGTCAGATCTGTTTCTTGGTCTTTTTATATTTTTGTCTAAAAGCACTTTAGTTATCTGAATTTTCTGAATGTTGCTCTTCCTTTTCTGTCATTTATTTATTATGCATTATTAAATAAAAGTTTTGGGTATCTTTGCTTTTCCATATGTATTTTTCATAGTAGCTCTGCTTGGATACGTCTTCAGAAAGCGTTATGGCTCTGATCCTGCCTAGAATAGTGTATATGTCTGGTTTGTGAGCAGTTTTACTGAAATCCATGGCACTATTCTAGGGCATAAAGTTAAACACATGCCTAGGTCTTTGAGAGGTTGGGCCCTAAATAGACTCGGCAGGGTGCATCCAGGTTAATTAATATCAAGTCATTTTGAAGATGAAAATCATTGTAGATGGGGCTTTCAGAAGTGCCTTAGGAGAAAGGCACCCAATTCCCACGGAAAGTCACAGGGAGATAAGGGCCTACTTTATAAGGGATAGGTATTGATTAAGTTATCCTGCTGTTAATTATTTTGTACAGAAACTCCACTGAACTTGTAGGGGATTTTGTGAGCATATCAAAGGCAAGTAGGGGGCCAATACCTTGCTGTGGTATTGATGTAATGGCCTCATTTAGGCCTGCACCCATTCTTGGTGTTTTCAGGGGGGCAGCTTTGGGCCCTTTGTCTGAGTGCCTCTGTAGATAGAACATGAGAAACAAATGGTAATGTACAAAGCCAAATGTATTTCAAATCCCCCCATGCCCCCCAATAATAGTGCCATAGCAATGGATGTACTGCCCTGTCTCCTTGGCACAGGAATGCTCTCATCTCATACTTCTTTAGGGTGAAAACAGACCCAGACCCATTTCATAGTTCTAACCGCCAGAGTATCCAGGATGGCAGTCGTAAAGTACTAAGGGGTCAGAATGGCATCATTACTCAAAACTCCCCTTTAATTAGTGGAGGGCCAAAGGCCCTCAACTGATGGTGAAATGTGCTCTTCTGAAATATGGGAGGAAGCCAGATATTAAAACCATGTCACTCAAATTGACTTTTGTCTGGAATTTGTACATACTCCACTTAGCACGCTCCTGCTTGTGCATAAGGCAGAATTGGCCCACATGTATGTTGTAACAGCAGTATTGAAACATTTCCAGTTTTATCTGCTGGCCAAAATGTAACAGAAAATGATCAAAAGGCTTTATTAAAATCTGGGTAATTCCAGTCTGGAAACAGTCCCAATACAGATCAGTATATAAATGGCCCTGTAATTATGGTTCACCTGTCCCTGGCTATAGGAGCAATGGGAAACTGGCAGCAACCTCTCTCCAGGGTTTCTAGACTAATTGTTTTTGAACACTGTCAGGATGGCCAGGCCAACCTGGGAGGAGGGAGAAAAGGCAATAGGGGTCGGGGGAGTAGTGGCAGATATGGACTTTGTACAAGACTGTACAGCTGAAAAAGTGACCCCCCCCCCATGATGAGGGAAGAGGTCATTCCATCCACGAGCGGAGCCTTGGCACATTCAGTGTCTAATCCTGATTCGGCAGCATTTGCCGATGGTTGATCGGGGCTGTGCAGTGCTGGGACGGGTATTTCCCCATATTTATGTCCCCGCGTTTGGAACAGATGAGGATGGTGGATCTTGGTTACTGACACATATAGCAACAGTGGGGCTATTAGTGATGGCATGGGCAAGAGTGTCTTCACTGAGCGAGCTCAGAGATTGTCCTCAATGACTTGAAATGGAGGGTAGGGGACATGCGGGCTGCATCTGGCTCACTGACAATCCTGCAGGAGAACAGCCTGTCTGAGCCTGAGCTGTACACCGGCTGAGAAACTGCCCGTGGGTGTCTGGTCATAGAAGGGCTCTCTTCCTATAGACCGCAGGTATTTCATACTGTAAGGCAGTGAGGAGCTGCCAATACGTCACCAAGGGGCTTCTGCCTTAGCCACAGTACACAGCGTGTCTCAGGGACGTGGATACTCTCAGGGTAAGATTCCCTTCGGAGTGGGGACCAGGCAGAAAGGCCTCCATATGCCACTTAAGGCTCACGTTGGGGCAAGTCTGTACAGCAGCAGGGAGAGGTCCCTGTACAATGCCTCCATGCCACAGAGAGGGTCTCTGGGCTGGCCCCTGATAGACAGAAAGCAGTGATGAAGGCAGGCTGTTTTAGCAGACTAGATGTGACTAGTGTGACCAGACAGCAAGTGTGAAAGATCGGGACATGTTTTTCCCCCAGGAGGGCCGGTATAGTTGCTTAAATAAGACAAAGCCCCTAATATTGGGACATCTGGTCACCTGAATGTGAACACAAATCATAACCATCCAGTCACAGCAACCAGGAGTATTTGTCTGACTCTCAGGAACAAGGGTCTGATCCAGATCCTAGATAAGTGACTTCAGTGGGGTAGGATCAGGTCCTAACTCATTGATGACAGGGATGAACCAGCAAAGGGCTAGAGAGTCTATTTAGATTATAAACTCTTCGGGCCAGAAACGGTCTCTTACTAAATATCTTTGTACAGCCCTTAGCCCAGTAAGCCCCCCAAATCAGCTAGGACTTATAGATGCTACTGTAACGAATGATGCTGATGTTATAATAAGACTAAACTCTTTGGGGGCAGGGACAGTGCTTGTACGGTACTGAATACAATAGGGCCCAGAGGTGCTACTGTCTGATAATAATTTGATTTTTCACCCCTGATTTAGTGAATGACATTCTTGGTACAACAAGAGTATAACACTATTCCAGAGACAGCCACCTCCACCCTGGGTGGTCCAGAATGGAAACATGTAAAATGTGGTAAATAATTCTGTGATGGGATCCCTGGAGAGCAGCCTGGGACCGTGAGACCACTGTCTCATATAGCAACAGCGGGGCTGTTTCAAGTGATTATAAGGGACAGGCAAAAAGTCAGAGTGGTTTCCAAAAGAAAAGAAAATATAAGCACGCAGTCTAAACTCTCAACCCTATTAGACTGGGCAACATCTAGATCATAGAATTGTAGGACTGGAAGGGACCTCCAGAGGTCATCTAGTCCAGTCCCCTGCACTCAAGGCAGGACTAAGTATTATCTAGACCATCCCTGACAGGTGTTTGTCCAACCTGCTCTTTATCTCCAATGACGGAGATTCCACCACCTCCCTGGGCAATTTATTCCAGCTGACAGCTAGGAAGTTTTTCCTAATGTCCAACCTAAACCTCCCTTGCTGCAATTTAAGCCCATTGCTTCTTGTCCTGTCCTCAGAGGTTAAGGAAACAATGTTTCTCCCTCCTCCTTGTAACAACCTTTTATGTACTTGAAAACTGGTATGTCCCCTCTCAGTCTTCTCTTTTCCAGACTAAACAAACCCAATTTTTTCAATATTTCTTCGTAGATCATGATTTCTATACCGTTAATCATTTTTGTTGCTCTTCTCTGGATTTTCTCCAATTTGTCCACATCTTTCCTGAAATGTAGCACCCAGAACTGGACACAGTACTCCAGTTGAGGCCTAATTAGCGCAGAGTAGAATGGAAGAATTACTCCTCCTGTCTTGCTTACAACACTCCTGCTAATACATCCCAGAATTATGTTTTGCTTTGTGTTTTTTAAGAACCCCCCCCCCAAAAAAAAACACAAAAAAACCCAACAACTGTTGACGCATATTTAGCTAGTGGTTCACTATGATCCCTAGATCCCTTTCTGCAGTACTCCTTCATAGGCAGTCATTTCCCATTTTGTATGTAGATTAAGCAGTTTCTCACCCCACTGGATATTGCAGTTCATAGTACACAGGTTTCACCCTTGAAACCTGGGCCAATCTCCTCTGTTGGAGTCTTCAGTCTTCTGAGTGTCTTTTTCGCTTGCAGCATAGGTAGGGGAAGGAGAAAGGCCAGGGCCAGGCATGGGCCCGTGTTCTGTTTTATACCCTTAGTCCAGGTGCTTGCAGAACACAAGTCCAGACATGTCTGGTGGGCATTGCCGAGTCCCCAGACAAGGTTCAGCAATTCCCCTGGTGTGGCCTTATGCAAGTGAGTCATTGAATTGCAGTTCCCTTGCTGGACAATGGCTGTTGACAATTGTTTGACACCTGCCTGGATGCTGGTTACTTTCCTTGGCTTTGT